TTAGGGACGCTACAGTCGAAGCTCTTGGGAGTCTGACGAGGGGACTTTGCCAGCTCTTGGGAGCTTATTGCCCTTGGGGGCAGGCTGCATGTGCGCTACTGTCCAGGGCTCTTGGGAGCATGACGGGTGGCCGTGCGAGCTCTTGGGAGATAATAGTTGGCGGTGCGAGCTCTTGGGAGCTTATAGCCCTTGGGGGCACACCGTTAGTGATTCTACTGTCGAGAGCTCTTGGGGGCTGTCAGGTGGCTGTGCGAGTTTTTGGGTGCTCTTGCCCTGGGACATACCGTTACGAGCGCTGATGTCGAGAGCTCCTGGGAGCCTGACGAAGGGAGCTGCGCGAGCTATTGGGTACTACTGCCCTTGGTGTAGACCACCAAGGCCACTGTTGTCGAGAGTTCTTGGGAGCCTGACCGGTGGCCGGGCGAGCTATTTGGAGCTTCTTGCCCTGGGGGCTAGCTGCTACGATCGTTTTCTGTCGCGACCTCCAGGAAGCTTGAGGGGTTACTGTGCGAGCTCTCGGGAGCTCATTGCCCTTGGGGGCAGACCGCTATGGGTGCTACTGTAGAGAGCTACGAGTATTGGGAGCCTGAAGGATGGCGGCGCGAGCTCGCGAGAGCTTCTTGCCCTTGGGGGCAGACCGCTTGGGTGCCAATGTCTAGAGCTCGTTGGAGCCGGACGGGTGGCTGCGCAAACTCTTCAGAGCTATTGCTCTTTGGGGCAGACCGCATAGGCGCTACTGTTGGAAGCTTTAGGAGCCAAGCGACTGCTCGAGCCGGCGGGAGCCTATTGTCCTTGGGAGCAGACGGATACGGGTGTTACTGTCGAGAGCTCTTGGGAGCCGACGGATGGCCGTGCGAGCTCTTGGGAGCTTATTGCCCTCGGGGGAAGCCTCTATGGGGCTAGTGTCGAGAGCTCCTGGGAGCTTACAGTTGGCTGTGCGAGCTCTTAGGAGCCTCTTGCCGCTGGGGGCAGACCGCTAAGAGTGTTCACATCGGGAGCTCTATTGAGCATGACGGGTACCCGTGCGAGCTCTCGGGAGCTTATTGCTCTAGGGTTACTGACGAGAGCTCTTGGGAGCTTACAGTGGGCTGTGCGAGCTCCGAGCTCTTGAGAGCATCTTGCCCTGGGAGGGGGGAGGGGCAGACCGCTACGTATGTTTCATGCCACGAGCTCTAGGGAGCGCAAGAGAGCATCACGGCTGGCTGCGATTTGCGAGAGCTCTTGGGAGCTTTAAGTTGGCTAAACAAGCTCTCGGGGGCTTCCTGCCTTCATGGACAGGCCGCTTCGGGTGTTTCCCCTGCGCGAGCTAGGGAACATGACGGGTGGCCGTGGCAGCTCTCGGGAGCTCTCCACTTGACTGCGCGAGCTCTTGGGAGCTTAATGCCCTCGGGGCAGACCGCTACGGGCGTTTCCTGGCGCAGCTCAAGGGAGTATGATAGGTGGCCGTGGGGGCTCAATTGGGAACTCGCAGTTGGCTGGTTAAGCTTGGGAGTTCCTTGCCCCGGGGGCAGACTGCTACGGGGGTTTTCCTGTCGCGAGCTCAAGGGAGCATGGCGAGTGGCTGTGAGCTCTTGGTAGCTTACAGTGGGCTGGACCAGCTCTCGGGTTCCTGCCCTTGGGGGCAGACCGCTCCGGATGGTTCCGGTCCCGAACTCTAGGGAACACTACGAGTGGCTGTGGAAACTCTTAGGAGCTTACAATTAGCTACGTGGCCTATTGCGTGGTCGCTCCGTTTGGCGGGGTTTGGCGGGTGGTTCCAGGAGCAGGAACTGCCACCAGTGGGCGATCGGCCTTTACTCAGCCAACAGAGTGTCTAGATCACGGAGGCGTCAGGCATGAGCCCAATGGCAACTTAGCGGCCCCCGGCTAAGAGGCGTTGGGCGAGGGCAGACAGATGCCGGAGAGAGCGAGGGAGAGGGAGGGAGGGTGGGAGGGAGAGAGATAAGCGGAGCGGGCGGGCTGGGGCGGGAGGCACGAGGGGAGCGCGGGATATAGGACAGTCAGAGACGAGCCAGCGAAGGGGACGGACCATCGGTCATGGTCTCAACAATTTTTTTTTCTTCTTTGTTTTTTTCCCTGTCGTGACCCCACTGTGGCGGGTGGTTCCAGGAGCAGGAACTGCCACCAGTGGGCGATCGGCCTTTACTCAGCCAACAGAGTGTCTAGATCACGGAGGCGTCAGGCATGAGCCCAACGTAAGTTATATCGGACGTGGCTGCGAAACTTCTCTCGGTACGAAACTTCTCTTGATCGGAAGAAAATCGGAGGGATGAAAAAGAAAGAGCGGCCCATCGGAGCTACGTTGTACGTAAGTTGTTTCGCAGCGTTTAAATGCCAGTTTTACTACGATTTAAATGCCAAGCAGATCAGCTGACCTCGTAGTACCATGTCGATAAGGTCGAATTCCCCATACGTCTATAGTGTAAAAGTGACCCCTATTGCAAATGGGCTGTCAGGGACATCTCCTCTTCTGTAAATTTGGAGGGACCATGTGTCGGCATTCCCACGTTCGTTTCGGAGTCCATCTGTTCCATTTGGAGCCCGTCAGTTGGCGTCAAGAGTTGGCGCAGCGAGCGCCCCGAAGACTGCGTCTGCGCACGAGGCTTCGCGATGGAGGAGTATTTTGACGAAATCGCCCTCGCTGCAGAAGAAATAGAGGGACTTGTTGAGAAAGAGGAGGCCGCAGTGTGCCGACGACTTTAAACTGTACGCCAACGCCAAGACCAAGGCAATCAGGGGGCGCTCAGATGATCGGGAGGTTTCAATAGATCAGGGACCCACCAGGTGACCAGGGAACCCTCTGATAACCCTTCCAGTAACCAGGGACTCCTTCAATAACCAGGGGCCCCTCAGTAAACGTGGGCCACTCAGGTTACTGCAAGAGACAGGAGTCCCTTATAACCAGGGACCGGCAAGGTCTCTCAGGTCCGTTTTTGACAAAGCTGTTATTGACGTCATATGCGATTGCGAGCCCTTTGCCACCAGCAGAGGGCCCTTTCAAGCCTTTTTAGGGCCGTTTAACGTCTCTTGAGTTTCCTTTGAGGCTAAGGGCCTCTTCATCAGCCGAGGGGTCTTTGAGGCCTTTTTGAGGGCCACTTAACGTCAGCTGAGGACCGTTGGACGCCATCTGAGGACCGTTTGGGGCCTTCTGATGGCCAGTAGATGCCAACTGAGGGCTCTCGCCTCTCTGACACCAGCTGAGGGCACGCTGACACCAACTGGGGGCCTCCTGACACCAGCTAAGGGCGCTTTTATATTTGACACGCGCTCAGGGCCCTTTGACGCCCTTTGAGACCTTCTGAGGTCCGTTTGACGCCAGCAGAGGACCCTTTGGGGTCATATGAGGGCCCTTGGCTGCCTTCTAAGCGGCCTTTGAGGCTTTTTGAGGGCCGCTTGACGCCAGCTGAGGACCGTTGCGGTTGGACTCCAGTTACGGACCGTTTGATGCCTTCTGATGGCCATTTCGCGCCAACTGAGGGCCCCTGACACTAGCTGGGGGCCCTCTGACACTAGTAAGGGCCCTTTAAGGTCTTCTGAGGTCCGGTTAACGCTAGCGGAGGGCCTTTTGAGGCCAAATGAGGGCCGTTTGAGACCTTATAAGGGCTCCTTGAGGCTTTTGAGGGCCGCGTGACGGCATCTGAGGACCGCTGTACTCCAGCTGACGACCGTTTGAGGCCTTCAGATGGACTTTTGGCGCCAGCTGAGGAGGGCTCACTGACACCAGCTGGGGGCCCTCTCACACAAGCTAAGGACTCTTTAAGGCCTTCGGAGGGTCGTTTGACGCGAGCTCAGGGCCCTCTGACGCAGGTTTAGGCCCTTTGATGCCCTTTAAGGTCTTCTGAGGTAGGTTTAACGTTGGCTGAGAGCCATTTGAATCCATCTGAGGGCCCTTTGAGGCCATCTTGTGGCCCTTCATTTGGCCATCTGAGGGCCCTTTGACACCAGATGAGGGCCATTTGACGCTAACCGAGGGCCCTTCGAGACCATCTGAGGACCCTGTGACCCCATCTGTGGGCCCTTTGAGGTCTTTTGAGGACCATTGAAATTTCGCCACAATACCCCTGGCTGCGCTACTGGGCATTTATGGACTCGTATGGGCCTGCTGGAGAACGAGATGGGCCCTCCCGGTCTTTTCAATCATTATTTCAGTTCATTTTACATGGTCTTCGGCGGTCTAAAGATTAGGGGCCCCAACTCGAATGGGGGAGGCCCGTGTGCCCTCTCCTGTGTGCGGCCTTGCCGACACTATACCGCTTGCTCTCCCTCCGCCATAAACGCACCGCTGTTAGGCGCCGGCAAATACGGACCGGCGCCGCCACCGGCTCCCCCGCGGCCTGCCTCGCGTTGACATAGCCCTTCCCGAACACCAATGTAACCCCCACGCGGCCTAGGTATCGCCGCGCCCACCTGTCCGCGGCGCGGCCTCTGATGGCGTATCGGATCATTGATGGCGCGATACATGTATTGGGTCAGATTTTCGCAATTAACGCGAAAAATTGCCCAAAACACTTTTTAAATTTCAAAATTGAAAAAAAAATAATTTCAAAAATGACGTGAAAGTGACCGTTTTCAACGTGTAAATTTAAAACGCTCTAGCGCCGCCATTTTTGAAGAAATCGACTTCAAATTTTGCACACGTGTTCACCAACCATATTTGTTTAACATATGTTTCGGTTTTGTGAAAATTTTGAAAATTTCTTATATTTTTCTCTTGAGAAAGAGGTAAAACTTCGCTACGATCGGCCTTCCGATCGACCGAGAAGAATCGTAAAGTTATTTCGTATGTTCACCATTTGCGATACAACTTGCGTAACTACTTAGCCTCCGATACGATGGATCCCTCCAATATCTGCTCCGATACAACTTACGTTTGATCGCAACTGCGATGTGCCTTGCGATCACATGGATCCCCCCAGCCCTAGATTTGTGGAAAAATTGACGTCTGAAGTAAACGGCTATGCGTTTTGCTCGTTTCCTTTATTAAACTGTTAGATACGTACCCCTTGGTGGGATCGAGGTTCTGCCAGTTGGGTGCCAGGCCGGGCTTGCAGTAGTCGACCAGGGCGTTCAGATTCACACCGTTATTCCAGTCGGTGGTGAAATTGCTGACTTTGCAGTCTGGCAGCACACCCTGGAAACGAGGGGAAAATAGTAAATGCTTTCATAAATGAGAAAATATTCGGCTGTTTGCAGTGCTCAGCGCTCGTACAAAGCTGGGGACGTTGGAAAGGTATTTTGAATGTGAACGTCACAGATTATGCATGCAGCTCAAATAATTAATCGACTTGATCGTGCCATAAGATAACTAAGAAATAACAATCAAGCTTCTCACTCTCTTTCCGATTAATTTTCCTCCCCTTTCCCTCTCTCTCCCTCTCCTCCTCTTCCCCTCCCTCTTTAACAACAACAAAGAGCCACGTCTGTGACTCACTCGCCGTTAGCGCGATATGACCACTATGACTCAGTTCCGCCACAGCACCAGGTATGCCTAGAGACCGCTCAACTGCACTGCAGAGGGTGCGTTGTGTGGTCTCGGACCTATAGGTAACAAGAATAGATATAGCGTATCGAAGATGGGAGAGGCCGCCATGGGGAAATGCTCGCCCTCAAAAGCCAGGGACAACTTTTACTTTTTATGAAAATTAGCACTAACAGGTAAAGGTACAAACTGATTGAAAGTTTCTTTGCGTTTTATCCTAGACGATTCATAGCCACTTGAGAGAAATGGAAAGTTATAGACGGCGCTTGAAATGGTTCATACTTTTTTTTTTAAGTTGGACGGTGCGTCAGCAAACAGGCCTTACCGGAACAGATTGGTTCAAATACCTACTTCGTTCTGGATAGCTACACTATCAAGTACGAAAGACAATGCCCACTTCCGTAAATATTTGCATATGATATTGCCCGTTGAACTCCTGATGCTAAAACAAACTACGAAGATAGTTTATGCGGGCTCAATAACTTTTCGTAGATGTTCGGAGATCGCAACTTTCAAGAATATTGCATGCTGTATTATTGTTCATGCCAATCGACGATCGGCGATTGGCGAATAACGTCTATGGCGAGTTAAGTCTGAAGTGGGGAGTTGCAAGCGGCGACGCACTTGAAGATCATGATAGACCAAGTTGTCAACGAAATGAATGGCCGCAGCACTTAAACCTCTTTTCTAACACTTTTCAAGTGCCTGAAAATCAGCGATCAATCGCACATTTCTGGTGACCTGTCGATAAATTTCCCACACTCTCTCAGCTTCATCCTCCCGTCCTCTGCCGAGGTGTCGCTCCCACGCTCCCGGCTCTCTGCAATCGTCCCTCCCCCGTGAAGGAATTCTGAATGCTCGTCAGCAGGCAGCCCGGGGAAGTATGCTGCAGCGCTAAACCGGTTCTTTCCCTCCCCCTACCGCCACTGCACCGCCATGTTCATCGCCGCCCCCCGTTTGATTTCGCCGCGTCTGCCAACCTCCCCTCGCACGAAGCCAGCGCGTGGCCTCGCGGTGTCGGCGGTCGGCCCATCGCCGTTGACCCCTGGCCGTCGTGTCACCGGCACGAGCCTTCTCCTCTGCGACGTCCAGCTACAATGGGGCCTGCCGAGCGGCGGCGCATTGCCCAACAGGCCCAGTGACCCGCGTGACCTTGAGGGCCGCGGCTCGGCCGGCCGGCCGGCTCCGACCCCGCTCCAGTGACGTCACGGGCGGTGGGCGGCCGCCGACCGACCGGCCGGCTGTCTGTCGGGCGAATCGGTCCGCCCGGCGATCCGCCGAGCTCGGCTGAGCTCAGCACCGCACACTGGGCCAGCGGCCCGGAAAAGCGCTAGAAATTATTTATGATTGAATTGTTGATCTCAGTGACAAGCAAACATGCTAAAAAAGAAGTGCGGCTGCTTAACCCTCGCCGGGCCTATTGTCGGACCCCCCCCCCCCCTCGGCAGGACGAGGGGGGGGGGTTGGTACGACCCCTTTTCGCCGTTTCGCCCCTAATGGAGCTAGAGCCTCGCGGAAAAAACAAGCGTGTGCGCCGTTGTAAGACGGAACGATTGATACCCGATTTTAAGGTCCCACGCCAACTGGTAACCTCTGAGGTCAAGTCAAAAAGCTCGAGGTAGGGTTTGGTTTTTGGCAAATAATTTCGCAAAAAATGGCCGCAGAGCAGCGATTTTGGCACCGTCGTGTTCGCCTGGCTCAGGCGCGTCGAATGATATGCTTTTTGTTCGGGTAAGGTCAACTTAAGGTGTTGACCTCGAGTTAAGGTTAGGTCAGAGCCCATCAGGCCACGAACTTATCGAAGGAGGTCGTATCGCATATCATTCGATTCGGGAGGTCTTCCCGAGTCCATTGGTGGCTTTCCCGAGTCGCTGGCTCAATTTGATTACGAGTTATTGACGAGAAACCCCTGTGACGTCATAAATGACGTCACGGAAGGTCAAAAATGCAAAACTAAAGCATCGGATCTTGTAAGGAGTGCATGAAATCACGATTCCGTGTGCTTGAGATAGTTTGAGATCATTCCATGCGCAAAAACAACAGTTTTCTTATTTCCCCATTTACTTTTAATGGTGAGGTCACGTGACCTCAAAGAGCAGCAGGCATTGGCAAAAACTGTGAGTATGGCATGAGAGATAGATGATTAGTGGTTTGTATGGCACGGCCATTTTTAGCGGCTCGAAATAACATTTCTCAAAAAGTCTAACTAAAGAGCAATTTGTTGTTGATTGTCACTGACTTGTGTTTGGGGGTTAGTACTGACTGAATTATTGACTTTGGCCCAAAAATTTTGACAGCATTGTGTGCGTTGATCAATTCTGAGCTCAGGGACATATATTTTATTAAGATTATAAGCATTCGTTTTTCATAAATTTCAGCGCTTTTAAGAGCGCCGGGCCTTCAGTAGAGCGGCGAGGTGACAATTGCCCCTACATCATGTGGTTTACTGGCGCATATCTCGAAAAGTAGCAGGGAAAAGCAGCAAAGCACCTACAGGGTGGGGCAGAAAGATTTACCTCTTGATTTTCTTAAATATTTCGGCCCTGAACAAAGATATCAAATTGATTTCTGGCACATATATGCAGTAGCATGTACACTTCTCAGCGACGGCATTATGGCTCAATATGGTCACCTTGTCCTTCACCACTGCCTCGAAACGTTCTTCTGCGGAGGGGCACGAGCGCCGCATGGTGTCCCCGCCAAGATTCGACGGTGCCGTCTCAAGGGCCAGCTTCAGGGCGGCGATTCTGCTGTGTGCTGCTGCGCACACCCTCCTCTCCAAGATGGTCCAGATTGCGAAGTCCATCGGGTTCAGGTCTGGACTTGATGATGGCCGAATGTCTGTGTCCCAGAACCCAGGCATGTGGGTCTTCCACCACGGTTGAGCGATGTTGGCCGTTTGCGGCGGCGCACCGTCCTGGACGAAGACGTATCCGTCTCGGAACGACTGAGTGACCCAAGGCAAAACATGTTCCTCCAGCAGATGGTTTTAAACCTGTACATTAACTTTCACAGCCTCCTTGATGAAGACCAAGGATCCTTTTGAGCCGTCGGATGCGACGGCAGCCCAAACCAAGACACCAGCAGGCTTCTGGCGACGAAAAATGGTGCGAATAGCAGGATCAATGCTGGATGAACCATCTGCCAAAAAATTGACGTTTTGGGAGTGTCTCTGGGGCTCAAGCATGAACATGTTGTCATTGGACCAGAAGAATGCCTTGTTACCGGCGCTCCTGATTTCCTCCAATGTTTTTTGGGTCCTGTGTAGCCGCTTTTCCCTGGATGCCGCCGAAATTAGGTGCCGATGTTCCATCCTGTATGAAATAAAGCCCAAGCCGTCGTTTATGATTCTCTTGGCGGTTCTGGGCGAAACACCGAGCTCCCTTGGCAGTTTGCGCATGCTTCGCCTAGAACTTGAAACACCTTCTTGTGCACGATATTAACCAGCTTTTTGAAGCAGATATCCCTTATTTTGCCTGGCATGGACTTCGTCGACACCAACCCTGCCTTTTTAAGTCATTTATTTACACTGCAAACAGTTTTTACGGCAACACCGAGCTGTTTGGCAACGCTTCAGGAGCTATGGCCAACCTACTTTAGCGACGCAATTTGGGCTCTCTTAGTCAGCTTCGCCATAGCTCACCAACAAATATTACGAAATGCAAAAACGATCTTAATGTTGATAAATGAGTCAGTTGGGAAGCAGCATGCAAAATTTTATCAAAATCCGTTCAAAACTTTTTGAGTTATGGACTGAAAACAAACAGGTAAATCTTTCTGCCCCACCCTGTATATGAAACGAAAGATGAGTAATCAGAGGCTAATATAAGATGTTCATTTTCAGCCGCTCGAAATAACGTTTTTATAAAAGTCTATTTAAAAATTTAGATATTATTTTTATTTAGGTCTTGCAGCTGCTTGCAAAAAGCTAACTTATCTTGCAGAAAAGCGATGCAATATGTAAGAATGTTGCTGGCACAGTGAACAACAGTGCCCTGAACTAGTCTGACAGAAAATTTCGTTCAAAACAACGATTGGCCAACTAATAAATTACCACTAAAGATCATCATTAGAATCGGTAAATGTAGTGGCCACTAGAGAGTCTAAATTGTCTTGTGTTTGGTGACAACTGACGACCTGAATTTTGACCTTAGGGGAAAACTGGCATCGGAATCGTATTCTTCGATCAATTTGGGATTTAATGATACATATTTTGTTCATATTGCGGCCAGTCAGTTTGGAGGAATTTCTAGCGCTTTTCCGGGCTGCCGGCCTACAGTGCACCGGTAGCTGCAGCTGCGACAGAGCTGAGCTTCAGTCGGCTGCTCAGTGCTCACAGCGTGAGCTTACTCTGTTGACTGGTCAAAGTTTTAACCGGGTAGAGGAGAGAAGGAGGGAGAGAGGGACTGGTAACACAAAGGTCCACCTCGTGATGATGTCATTAATCACAGCTGGATTATCGGCAATAACTGTTGGGTCATTAACGCCGCCGTGTGCCGATGAGATATGACCGGGAGAGATAATGAAAAACCGATACCTACAATGATAATGAAGCGATAGGAAGGGTAAGACATGTTGAAAATAGCTAAGCTTGACCGATCCTGATAAACGTTATTCACTTTACATCTGTGTACGACATAACATGCCGCAGAGTTCCTCATTTTACGATGTTTTCCGCTCTGGAGGACACGCGCTTCGTCCGTGTGTGTACGTGTTATGGCACCGTGACACAGTATGAAAGCGCCTGAATGCGAGTTTGCGTGCCGTGTGGTAAGCCCATGCTGTAAAGCAGGTAAAACCCGGCATCCGCGCAGCTCTATTTAAACGTACACACAAATGACAGGCCTGGCAGGCCTGCGACAACTCACTGATCGTTACTACAGGGTGTAACGAAATTATCCGGACATCTTTCTTCGCGCTGTAATTAAGAAGCAAGACAATCTGATATTTTCTCTTTTGAATTATTATATAGCCACCTTTCATAAGAGCGCAGGTACAAATTTCTGGAGCATTCCAGCCACTGGGTTTTCCAGCACAGAGGGTTTCATGTAGAGCAGCGCCTTGCTAGCCTGTGCCCACAGTTGGGCGGCGCTGGTGGCGGGTGTCCCTTCATTCATCTCCTGCTGGACAATAGTCCATAAGATATCGATGGAATTGAGATGGGAACTATTTCCAAGCCATAGCCCATTAGCCCAGAAGAAAAATAGGTCCTCTCGGCATCGCTTCTCATTCTGCTAGGGGACTTGAAGGTGGTGCGCCGCCCCGGATGAAGACTGCGCGGCTTGAATCAGGCATCAGTACGCGTTCAGAAACAGAGCCCTCCTGCGCCGTCTGGTTGAGTGGCTCCAACCAATCGCTAGCCAGGATGTTGCGCCGGTAATACTCGTCACTGATGTGGTTTTCTGTGGCGTCATGAACAGCTTGAATATTGCACAGCAGCTGAACATGCTCCAGGTCTGGATTTTGACCGGATGCTTGACGCCGGCGACGGCCGGCATGTTCGAGCTGCTGGCAGCCCACACATGACCAATTTGACGGTTCAACGGACATCGCAGCTCGAACAGCTTCCCATCCGACCAGACCATCTCATTCATGTCTTCCTTCGACCAGTGGTCACGCCTTGGCCTGAGGCCAAAGGTGGTGGACTGGTTGTTTTCCCGTCAATTTCATCATCTTTTTCAGTTTGAAGGGCAGTAAAACCAAGTTAAAGAGCGGGTAACGGTGAATTATGATGTGGGACCTCTTATTATCTGCCTTGGTAAGAATTCGAGTCAGTTTGCGGATTAATTGGTGCCGTTTCCTTGTCGCTATCTTGACAACTCTCCTCACCACTTGGCAAAGGGCGCCTTCTGCGATCGAGGCCGGGCTGAGTCTGCCACCAAGTCCCAGCTTATTACGCCTGAGGCAGATGTGCTACTGGCTGCTGCTGATGTCCAGCTGCTGACAGACCAGCTTCTGGCTCATGCCACCATGCCACCAACACGTAGCCTTACTACGAAACGAGAGACTGTACTCCCTTCTCTCCTTTGCCTTAAACGAAAACTATCAAATGAACCCGTCGGCGACTCGACTCTTACTCAGAACAAGAGTCATTTCGCAAGGTCAGGTCACTGCTGGTTGAGAGCAGATACCAGAGGTATGCATTCATCCAATTTTCCAGCTTCTAACATTAAAAAAGAAACTTTGCGAGCAGATATGGCGAAAAAATAGATGTCCGGATAATTTCGTTACACCCTGTACATCTTCTTCGCGTCAAGTCGTTAAGCGGTTTGTGTCGGTTTCGTCCTTCGCAACGTAACAGATGGATGGCTAATGACAATATTTCAAAATGGGTGGTATGTATGTAGAAGTAAAGAGGCAAAAAGCTAGCATAATTGGCATTCACATAATGTTCCATGCCTGGTCACTTGTTTTTAGTCGGAGGATGCGCACCTTTTTGACACTAAGCGACGAGGCCGCGTCGGTAAATAAAACTATTATACCTACAGGTGCTCGTTGCATGGTGAATTAAGTGCCAGTGATTTGTGCTTGACGTAAAAAGGTGAATATAATTGAATCTAGGAGGCGCAATTTTAATCATAAGCCTACGACATCCCGCCCAAATGAGAAACCTGCGGTGGTTGGCAAGACAGTAGCTTGTATTAGCCCACAAAGCTCCTCGCTTAAAGGTAGTGTGCCAGCTTTCTTGGACCGTATGGAGTTAATGGCCCAGATAAGGAGAACCGGATTTTTAGAACTTATCCATACCTTCAAAACTCATGGAAACGTCTTAAATTCTTCAAATTTTGAGTACCCCAGTGCGAAATTCGCCCCGACGGGTTGTCGGTCGTACCCCAACCACATTTCACACCACTATGAACAATAAATGCACACACTGAAATCGCTATTACCGATATGCTCATCCAATCAAGTTTCGATAAACCCGTTCATCATCAGCTCCTGCGGTTTCGAACACGCCTGTTAGTTGGCTTCTGATGCTCGTCGAGGTCGGAATTTCCAAATACGCGTGGTGCGTCGGGCCGCGCGCTCTGACTTCGGCCAAGAAAAATGCGTCAGCTGATCATTGTCATTTCTGCCACTTACGTGTGGTGAAATGGGGTCATAACTTATAAGACGGCTTTTACATATCAATTATTTTACATAAAATCATATTTCAAACCATAAATAATGTTCGACAGCCAAATAAAAGAAACAATACCAATACGGGCTTACAGTTTAAGGCTCGACATTGTGTTGTCTACGATTAGACAGCTGATAACTCATTCCCGTACGTCGTATGGTCGTAACACTATAATGACCTTTGCTTATTGTCACAAGTGCGCCGCATTCGCGATTGTTGCCCGACGCCTGTTTGCAGGTGAGCCCACTACAGTTGTTATACATATCTAAAAACCGATAAACTTTTAGGCGAAAAAGGCACTATTCCAGGCCCATTTTCGATTTTTTTTGCGATATTAGGTAAAAACAGAAGCTTCTTATCCTAGGAAAAATAAAATGGGAAATCTTTCAAAGGTGGCACACTACCTTTAACGTTGCTTGCAAAAGAAGGGTGAATGGGATTCAGGGCGATCTCTCCGTGGAAGCATAAGTCCCACGGCCCTCTTATGACGAAGAGTCCCTGACGGCTGGTACGACAGTGTTGTATCGACGCCATTAACTATGGAGAAGTGCCACCCACTACGTGCCTGGCAAGCTAACCAAACAGCCGCAGCTAGCGCCTCGGTGTGGCCGCTTCTTGCGCCGGCCGGGAGTGTTGTCCGACCTTTTTCCAGCCGTGGCCGGGCTCGAGCTCCGGCTCCGGCTCCGGCTGAGGCTCCGGCTCCGGTCCGCCATCAGCCGACTCACGGGCCTGTTTTGCCGGTCGGGGATAGCAGCAGTGCACTCTTCTCTAACGACCGGCTTGCGCAGGTATGCAGCCGGTCGGCCGGCGCCGCCGACACGGGGTCACAGCCGGCACAGAGAGGTCACAGCGAACACCGCTGCAGAAATCCCGGGGAAAAACGGATGCGCCTGGAGCTGCACCCGGACGCAGAAGGCATAAATAGGTGATTGATAAGTTGACTAAAGCTTCGGTAACAGCAACGGAACTGTCATCCGCGGTGAAACTGAAGTCTTGCTGAACTGAAGTATTTCGCGTATTGATTGTCGGCATCTGTAACTCCTGAATAATTTCGGAACAATGTTGCTAAGGCAACGCTGCCTATGCGGTTTATATAACAAGTTGGTCAGTGTATTTCTTCATCAAGACAACAGAGGAGATGCAGTGTATGAACAGAGCCGTGTTGTTTATTGGCCAGCATGATACCGTCTTAGTATCCGATTATTCGGAAAACTGATCGTGTCATGTGAAACCATTAATTACCGCCGACGGCGAATGCCCCGAGGGTGTCGGGTCGAGATGAAATGCGAGATGGCCACCTGATGGATCAGGGCCGTCGGGAGATGGTCCGGGCAGATACGGAGCAGGGTAGAGCGTGGGGAGAGGGAGAGGGGAGGACACAGAGAGAGAGAGAGCGCTGCTGAGTGATGGGGGCCCAAAGTTATCGTCCCAGCACGCACGGTCCGCCCAGTCGCCGTAGGTACGGCCTGTGTTTACCTCAGAGCTGCTGCTCCGTATTCTAAAGCCGCGCGAAGGTGAAACCGCCGTCCCAGAATAACGTACACAAGGCCTGCGTATTTTGGCTCAGATAGTCGAAAATGGGTCCAGGAGATAATAGTTTATGGGAGTATGTGATTACTGATTTTAAGTCTGATATTATCATTTCATTTTTGAATGATACCGTCCTTTATTTGTTCGATCCTCCGGCTTTGAACTGCAAAGAAGATTGCCGATGCATTGGCTCACCTGCAGCCAGGAGAGCATGAGCTTCTTGGGCGGGAACTTGGACTGGCCGATCTGGTACTTCATGATGAGACTCCAGATGAGGCCCAGGATCAGCTTCTGGTTTCCGTTTACTATGTCCACGTTTCCTGGAAAGCAGCACAGCAAAAGTGAGCATGATGCAGAAGAATCTTATCCAATGTCGTGCATGGAACAGCACTTCGCCTAAATCACAGAAATACCAACACGTGAACCACAGGGTAATGACTAATGATAACCCAACACCGTGAGCCCCATTCCCATTCCGGACGAGAGTTGGATCAACGGCCAGCCCCCATTCCCTGCATTCCTCCGCCCGCCGCGCCGGCGGCAGAGGTGGCCCTGTCACGAGGTAGCGGCCGTTTGACATTGCCCGCACGTCCCCGCGATGGCGACATAGCCTCCTCAGCTGGGGTGAGGTCATCACTACTGGCGATCAAGCAGTCACGAAGGACGGGATGTTTGCAGTTTATATAACTGTGTCAACGAATCATTTTGTCCATTTTTACATCCTTGTTCTTTCTTACATGTCCATTGTTAAAGTAGGTACTCGTAACAGGTTATGCAATTATCGCTAAATAAAGAAACGTTATTTTACATGTAAAATACCGTGTATGTATATTATACGTCAGATTGCTGACTTCACGCGTAGGTATGACAGACACCTCCAGCGCATAGAATGTCTGCAGAATTGGCCCCATGTGGTGCACGCACTAGCCCATTTGTTATCGAATGCACGGCCGAGTGAAGGAGCCGGCCGTAATTACGGGTGATGAAACACGTTTAGGTAATGAATCGTCCAGCTAAAGACTGGCCGTCGTTCTTGCTCAACATGTTCATTATATGACGGTGAAGACATGGAACGCTGGAAAGATCCGAGGGCGGCAGAGTACGAAGTGTGGTTACGACTCGAGTCACCAAACATCTACCCGATGATGTATCAACCGAGTTATGATTGTCAATTGCGCTTGATACCTTCAGCTAAAGTAAACTAAGAATGTTACGAATAGGCAATTCAAATGTCACGCATCTTCGGGAATTGGAATTACATAGATAAGAAAGACATTTCCTTTTGACGCGTATTGTTACCAATTCGAATTACGAAATCATTTGATAACAAGCGGATATAAAGCAGTTACGTCATCCGAATAAACAGCCATTAGTGGTTAATTAGACAGATGCATTCATTGGGCAAATTACTCAATTTGTGGCCTAAAGGTCAGACCAAGCAGACGGGGAACACGTCAAAGTTAATAAGGTGCAATTACCTCCTCCAAATGTTACATCAGAACCAAACCTACAACTAGAGGTGAGGCAATACATCATTGTGAATGGACGAGCCAACACGACTCAAGAATCGCAGCCGTCACCATACGTTTAAACTGAACCAGTGTGGCCATTGTGCTCACGATACGGTGTCGGAACGCCAATGACTGTGCTCTTCTACAGACATACGAGCCGAGTAAAGTGAGATTTACCTCGCACCATGTGCTCGCAGGTCACGTGACCTGACATTGCATGGCGTGATGATTTCCGATCGGGAGTGGTGGCATTTATGCCAATCCCCGGAAATGGGACCGAGACATGCAACAATGGTGGTCAGATGTGGTTCACCCTGCGCAGTCGCGGCCTTTATCTGATTCAAAGTTGAAATAACGTGAAACCTACAGGAAGGAACTCTTGTCATTCTTCAGTCACACGTTACAACTTACAAGGGAACGAAACCGCTCGATGGCAAATATCACACAACTAACACGCAAAAAAAAAATAGTCAAGATTGCCATACTAACAGAAATGCGAAGCAGAACCGAACACGGGTGGAGAATTAAGGGTTTTGGGGGTGCTCGAGCGACGAGAACCCCCTGAAATTCAAAGGTCACCATATAATAGTCCTTCAACGGTTGCTCGAATTACGTCTGAGACACAAACTGCTTTGCGTGAATCGCGAGAAGAGTAAGGCTGTTGGGAAAGCGTGCTTATGTATATGCGCTTTTCTACGCAAAAATTCGACGCTTCCATTTATCAGGTGCTGAAAAGCACCCCCTGCGATTATGACAATTCTCCGACCCTGGAACTGAACAAACGAACTGAATCAGTTCCTATGGAGAACATCTAAAGGGGTCAGACAAGGAACCAGCGTGGCGGTGCTTACCAAGTGAAAAAAAAACTTCTTAACGAAAATAACCACAGTTACCGTCATGCTGGATGATCCAGTTCAACCCGGCAGTCGGGTCTGCAGACAAGATGGTCGGTGACCTCCCGTGAGACACGGGCCATGCTACCGTCACATTGGCTGAGCACCGGAAGGGATATACAGTGTGTGCTGACCGTCACGTTAGACGGTTTACTGGCCGACGGCATGGACCGTTGCAGTGTGGTGACTCCGGGCCGTAGAAAAATGGTAGTCTATAGGGTGAACGGTGATTGATAATGCGGTATTTGATGATTGACTACAGCGGAATGTTTTTTGAGCAGATACAGTGATATGCGTTACCCACCATTGCGAGCAAATAAAATGAACAATGAAATCAGCAACAATATCTTGATTTGCGGAGGACAATGGTCTAGGAAATAAACCCCAGATGTTTTCATCAAATTCGCCAGAAGGCCTTTCACGACCTGCACGTTCCAATACGCACCATTACCAATACCTTATCACCCGCGATACGCAAGCAGAAGAGCTGAATGTCCAGCCTGAATACCGACCACGCGTTCACCCTTCGCACGTCGACAGCTTTTCCATAATGTCACCCAACCTTAGCGGCCTGTCATCACACGGTCACCGGGCACTGCTGAACGCCCAGTCACGGTCACGAAACACAACTCACGAGTCACGAGTCACCAGGGGCGGCTCTGCGGCACCGCTGCGGTTCGCAGAAGACTCTATGGGAAATGGAAGTGGCGCGGCCCTGTGACGAAATTGCACAGGAAGTGTGACACGCATCACCAGTCATGGGCATCGTCGCTCGGATTCTTCCCTCAGCGGAGACAACTGTCTACAAAGCGACAAGCGGCAAAGTCGTTATGCTAATGCTGCACGTTAAGCTAACTGTTCTTTAATGAGTTACACATTGCTATGCAACTGGTCATCATTCACTAATCACTAGCAGAGCCTACTCGAAAAGTGTAGGACTAGGTAACTGGTTTACTACTAAAAGATTAAAGAAACTCAAAATGATTGCTTAAGTCGGCAGTACATACCTATATATAGACGTTCAACATAGTATGAGAGCTCTCGACTATAATATCCATATGTCCAATACACCTCAGGGTGTCCGGAAAAAGATGGCATGTACATTATAACACCAATGATGACACTGCTATATAGGAAAAGTCTGTCCAAATTTATGACACATTTGATTTCCTCAGGGTGTTCTCAGGGTGTCCGGAAAAAAATGTATGTGCATTAACACTAACGATCATGACACTGCTATATTAGGAAAAGTCTGTCCAAATTTATGACACATTTAAAAGAACCTCGTTGACCTTTGCCGATTTGTCATGCCCAAAGTTAACAGTTCAACAGCCGGATCGGATGAAATGTCACGTTCCAAACACAGATAAGGACATCTGGCTGACATCTGTCACCGTCCGGACTCAGACTACAGCTTTACTGGTCTGATGTATCACGGGTGCAGCTGGTGATATATGATTTCATGATATTCACAGGCCACAGCAGCCATCTAGAGTTTGCTCATATCCGTGCACCAGCTGATTCCACCACATTCCTAGACCAGACAGCTGGCGCAGCTGGTCGCCCGTAATCGTCTGTACAGGAACAGATCCACAATCTGTGCGTTGGCGTCGGCAGCGGCCGGCGGTAGCTCGAAGGCGGGTCCAAGGCTGGTCTCCACCGCCTCTGCCGAATGACCTTCCCTCACACACTCACGCACGCACCCCGCCCGACGGCACCCGGCCGCCGCGGCTGCAGCGAGCGCGCCACATTCGCCGCTAAGCTGCAGCCAGCGCGCCGGGTTCGCCACCACGGCGCTGCAGCCGCCGTTCCTGTCCCGGTCAGAAATGGCGGAACCGCCGCTGCCGCCGCCGGCCGCCCCGTGCCGCCCGCTCCTTATTTGGCGGCCACTCACGTGCCAAAGTGAAAAGGGCACTTGGCGCCAGAAGTGGTTCGCAGTACGGAGCATGGCACGCCAGAGGTTGAATGAGAGAGTAGTTATGCAAGATCTGCTGCGTGTTGACTTTCTAGCAGCTTGTGGGCACGTCTTTGCGAACGGCCTTGCCCTTCTTGATGGAATACATTGGATGATAAGATCAGGAGAGGCAGACGCTGAGCTCTCCCTGGAAAGTGGAACATTTACATTTCGATTTGATTATTAAATAATCAAACTTGTTCTTGGCATGGATGAACTAAACACAACTGCACTTGCGGCAGCTAGCTCTTGCATAACACAATGTTTTTTTAAAGATAATCAGCTCCAAAATGGCTGACAGTGCCATAAAGACAATGTGCAAACTTGTATTAGCGCCTTACGGCATGCTTATTTTATATTTTGGCGTTGCGGAGAGCACATTCACGTGCATGATATAACGAGACTATTCTTTCCTCAACCATAGCGGTCAAATTCACAGCTGGAAGTCACGGCTCTTGTCGGAGACTCGCGAACGTGACCGCCAATAACAGCGTGCAACAGCCACATGCCTTCAAACAGGATATGACGGTTTTATAACCAAACACACACCATCCGGTCTATAGCGCAACGCTTGGCATGATATCGTATCTCTGCTGATATTTAATGGTTGTCCAAGTTAAATAAAGAAAAGCAACTACCTAAGCGGGCACGTATTTCACATCTGCAAGAACATATTTGATAGCAGAAGAAAGGCGTCTAAGTGCCCTATGCAAAGTCCTTGATTAAGGTAATTGTTGTTCCCACAACGATCATTCATTCAAATCTGGTAATATGTGATCGATCCGTGGCCCTTGTTCCTCCGGCCTCCATCACCGCATACACCGTCAATTCAGCGTAAACAGGCGTCATCAAACGCAAACGATCCTCACGCACTTTAACCATCATCACATTCATTCACCGCTATAGCGCCATCCGCCCAGTAGCGTGCGTGTGTCTGCCGCACGTGCCTGTGCCCCCCCCCC